TTTTTTTTTTTTGGAGAGGAATTAGGAGGACAAGTTTCACTACTAGGTAGCCCAGGCTGGCCTTGAACCTACAGCAATCCTTCTGCTTCACTCATGAGTACTAGGATTATAGGTGTGGGCCACCACAGTTAATTTAGAAACTACTGCCTTTGCAAGTTCACTTTGCCCCAGATATGCGCAAGCGACTTTTGGCCCTTTGGTCTTCAAAACACCCCTGTAGAGTAGGGACCTTTGTTATTACCCAACTGGAGGAAAAGAGAAGCCGATAAAAGAGGACCAGTCTTTCCTCAGAGCCATGGGTGTGGACCCAGATTTTAAACTGAGAGTAGCTTTTGCGCACCTTCCTGTTTTGGGGTCATACCCCCTCATCTTAGCCAGACCTCGTTTGTCCCTCCCTCCCTGTCATCTCAGTGGGTCCGAAGGTAACTGTGAGGTGAGGGCCCTCACCTGTCACCTGGTTCCTCCTTCTGGGTCTCAGATGGAGACATTCCAGTGATAAAGAGGCCAGGGAGTGGGAGGAGGAAGGAGGCATGGTGTCCTTCTTCCTTGGGGCTCTCCCTGCGGCCTCTCACAGCTCATTCCGGCTCTCCTCTAATTTGCCATTCCATTGAGTAACTTCTGTAATTGGATGCACCTGGCCCGGAGCTCTTCGGTTTACTCCCCTGCTCATTGCTCTGCCTTCTTATCTTTTCTCTTTTTGAGCAGAGTCTCCTGTAGCCCAGGATAGACTTGAATTTTGGATCTTCCTGCTTCCACCTCCTGGGTGCTGAGATCGCCGGTGTGTGCCACTTCCCCTGGCCTTGGCCCGTACTTCTTCCGTGCTGGGAATTGACCCTACAGTTTCATGCGTGTCAATCAAAACCTCTGCTCACTGAGGATAGGCTGCTCATCCCCAGCCCTTGTTTGCCGCTCGGTCTTCTCAGTCTTTGAGGGGCAGCGATGGTGAAGCATTGGGTGCACCTCTCAGGAGTCCTCCGAGGAGCCATCTGCTCCTTCAGCAGCCAGCCTTCAGGTAGCCAGTCAGCTCCTTGGCTCTGAAGCCCCGACTGAGGGGCTCTTGAACAGCTATCCAAGAAGACAAAGCAGCCTCAGGGACTCAGCTGTCTCTGGGTGCCCTTTCCCATTAAGAGACCAACAAGGAATAAATCAATATCCACCCATGGGCCAGCCCAGGAGGCAAGGGCCCTGTGAGGGGTCGAGAGCTGGGCAGACAGGTGCTCCCGGGTCCCCACTGCTCAGCCTCCCTACTTTTCTAAATCAGAGTGTTTACCTTTTTCTATCCCCCCATTCTCTCTTCCAAATTCTTAAGCATGTGTTGCCCTG